TATATTAAATGTATGTATATGTATATATATATACTTATGATTACATGCATTGCCACGATTACATGCATTTTGGAAGTATGCATATACATGTATACACGTGCCGCAATCCTGCCAAATACATTGATGCGTTTCGGGCGGCTCGCCACTTATTAGGTTTAAGGTTTAAAGTTTTTCGGTTTGAGTGTGATGAGCGACTAAGTGATGAGCGAGCAACAACCAGTGAGTGCGTTTGAGCAAAACATCACACGTCGCTAGTCTTAACCCCATCCGCCCGGGCGCATTCGTGAACATCTATTTCAGTATAGGCCAATGGATGCCATACACCTGAGATTGTACACAACCACATCCTGCTTTCTTCGTATCTCTGAACTAACCACGTCCGGCCCGTCTGTCTGTACTGTGCATATTGATATACGTTATGTACTACCTCATCCGCACAGGTTTGGCTCGCCTATGCGACCTTTGAAGCCAGTGTATCCAACGAAACGAACGCCATCGCACGCGCACGGCACGTGTACGAAGAAGCAGACAAGCACATGAAGGACAACGATCTAAACGAAGAGCGTGTGCTTGTGCTGGAGACCTGGTTGAAGTTTGAGCGCAGTAAAGGCTCGGCAGACTGGGTGGACAGTGTAGGTAAGAAAATGCCCAAGAAGGTCAAGAAGCGCCGATTGGTGGACGAGGAGGTAGGGCCCAGTGCTGGATATGAGGAGTACTTCGACTACATATTCCCAGATAAGAGCGACGGAACAAGCAATCTCAAGCTGCTGCAAATGGCACACATGTGGAAGAAGAAGCAGGCGGCGCTGAAAGAGGCACAGGCGCAGACGCAGACGCAGACGCAGACTGTCGACCAGCCCAAGGGGTCGGAGGAAGGGGATGGGCAAGAGTAGCGCGAGAGTATTTACTTAAGTAAACGGGAATAACAAGACAGGGTGTTGGGTGGAGGTTATCAGGGGGTAGTTAGGCGTTCCTCTTGGGTGGAGGTTATAATGAGGTAGTTTAGCATTCCTTTTGGGTGGAGGTTATAATGGGGTAGTTTGGCATTCCTTTTGGGTGAAGGATATAAGGGGGTAGTTTAGCATTCCTTTTGGGTGGAGGTTAGAATGGGGTAGTTTAACATTCCTCTTGGGTTTGGACGTGTTGTATCCGCAGATGACTGGCTTCTTTACGTTAGAAGTAAGGAATTGAGCTCTCGATAAAGGCCATAGCATAGATACCACACAAGACTGAACAGACAGAACAGACAGAACAGACACTGTAAAACGGTACTGCAGCTTGGATGACTCACAAGTTATACCCGTGTGTCTATTTAATTCGGTGCACCCATGTCACGAGAGCATCTCGTAGTACTATATATAACACTCAACAAACACTTTGAATATATAAGGCTGTCTCAGAAGACACTAACTCTACTCGAGTGTCATCGTGATATCCAGTACTTCCCCAACACCCTGTCTCCGCTTATTGTGTTTTACTACTATTACTAAGGCACCGTGGCGAGTGCCGCTATCTCTGCCGGCCTCTCGCCCTCTCGCACCATCCCACCCTGCGTATGGGTAGGCCTATGCACCTCTCCCACATCCGCGTGGACCGCTTTTGCCCTATGCCCGGGTGATACTGACCTGGGGGTGGCGTGGTGAAAGCCTGTACTATCCCGCTCTACATGCCTGGTGTGGATCCGTGCGGTGTCTATGTGTTCCGCTGGTCCGTGCAGAGGTTCGGTACTCCCTCCGTCGGACGTTTGTCCCAGACTGTGCTCTCCTTCGGCCTCGTCTATGACGTCAGGGCTTGCCTTATTTGGGATGAGGCGCCACTTCTGCCTTGCCCCGGTCAAGAGACCGCTGGCTACGTCCGCGCTGATTGGTGTAAACACTTCCATCTTCAAGAAGTCCTGAAACCGCGAAGCGTAGAACTTTGGCTCGCACACGGATATCGTTTTCTGCCGAGGATGGGATGATATGAACCGGTATTAGAGCGAAGGATGATGATATGAAGTGGTATTATGATAGGCATATAGGATGATATGAAGTGGTATGAAAGTACTTGAATGATGATATGAAGTGGTAATATGATAGGCATGCATATAGATGATATGAAGTGGTAATATGATAGGCATATATAAAGATATGAAGTGGTATGAAAGCACTTGAATGATGATATGAAGTGGTATTATGATAGGCATAATATAGGATGATATGAAGTGGTAAAGTACTTGAAAAATGAGGTGATGCACAAATAGCCCTGATAGGCGTTTTGCAAGTGTATGTATAGGAAGTCAGGGAAGCGCGGCTTAGTACTTGTAGCTGCAGTCATCAGGCGGGTAGAGGTGTTGTGTACTATGGACACGACCGTGTAGCACAAGTACCCGTGCGCAGCTATGCTACAACAATAGAATGTGTGATATCCACTATCACCAATGCTATACACTATCACCAATGTCATACACCATTACCAATGACACACACACAGAGATCGGCGTAAAGATCTGTGGTATATGTAGGCGGGTGTTATGATGGGTCATTGGTGCACGACGCTACATGCTTTGTCGTAAATAACCACTGGGATTCACTTGTGCATAACAATAGGGCTCACTTTTCCATAACAATAAAACTCACTTGTGCATAACAATAGGACTCACTGTGCATAACAATAGGACTCACTGTGCATAACAATAGGACTTACTTGTACATAACAATAAAACTCACTTGTGCATAACAAT